CCTCAAGTTGCCTTTTTGGACATGCATGCATATATTTGTACAAATTGTACTTGAGAGCAGATTATTCCAGCCTCATATAAAATCAATGACGATCATGATATCGGAACTGGATCGGTATCGGCTGATATTTAGATTTAGGTATCGGGATCGGATCGGAAGTAAAAAAATGTGGATTGGTGCATCCCTATTTTTAAGTGTTAATGTTGTTTAATTCTTGTTAAAGTCCTCCTGTGCGCACTCCTGCGGCCGCCATTTGGCAGCCAATTGATTTTTGGAACAACACCGGCCCACGTTTCTAGGTGGTCAGTGGTGACGCATAATAGATGCAACTTACATGGCGAAGCAACACATATGGTTTTTTCCATTTTATTAGACATATTTGGACTGATGTGACTTAGACGGCGGTGCGCAGTGTACGGCGACAAGTACGGTACTGTCCCTTCAGTACTTCAGTATGTTTACGTAACGTAAACCAACCGCTCCGTAGCTGCAATAAAACTGAAACTAAAGTGGTGAAAGATGAGCCTTACCTTACTGAGGTCCTTGGCGGTGACGCCATCATCATCGCGGCAGGGAAGCTTGTGCACGAACGCCAGCATCTGGTATTTGGCTCTGATGAACTCAGACTTTGTGGGACTGAGAATGAGTTAGATGATTAGTAAAAAAATAAATAAAACCAAGTCTTGAAAAAGAACACACGAATGTGAAGATACAACAGAAACAGCTACTAATAATTTATAAACCCCTCCCGATATGACCTTTACTATCACAAACGCATACAAATAAATCTCCCCTCCCATATTTAATTGTCCCCCCACCCAAAAAATGTTTCATAACATAACAAGTACAGTATGTTGACAAAATGTCCTCAATTCAAGAATAAAATATGCAAAACTTTACATATTGTAACAAAAATATAGCAACAGAACATTTAATTTATTTATTAAGTAATGCAAAATCTGCCTGCAAGTTATTTCTAAATAAAAGATCTCAGAACAAAGTCCAGCTGATTTGTTTTTTAACCTTTCTGAGGATAAATAAACAACATTTAAAGTTTCCTGAGAATAAAATGTTCCTCTGATGTTACATGTGAGAGCAAAGAAAACAATCCTTAATAAAAGAAAAGTGCTAAAACACTCTCGGGGTGGAGTTGGGGGTGGGGGGGGGGGGGTGTTAGGCACCCCACAATTTGATTTCAATTCAGAGGGCTGTGATTATCACACGAGTGATGCATTTCATTTATCTTGAAACTTAAATTATGTTGCATATTAGGAATGTGCGATATGGCATAAAATTCATATCACGATATGTATTGTGAAGGGTGGCGATAACGATATATATCGCAATATGCTTTTGGTATAAAACTTGCTAAAAAAAAGCATAGGGTGTTCTTTTGCAATCATATATTTTGAATTAAGAAAATTCCACTATGTCCAGAGAGTTTTTAAATAATAAACAAGTATTAGACTTATTTCTTGTAGTGCAAAACAGTGCAAAAGATATTAAATGTAGTTTTAGCCATTTGTTTTAAACAAAAAATATGTTGTTAACTCTTAACAGTTTCCAGTCTTCTCACTTTATAAATGAACAGGAACAGAGCAGCATTTTACATCGAAACACTTCACCTCCAACCCTCTAGTGGGCGACTCCTTCTGCTTTAATGGAGAGCTGACACAAAATGAGTCTGTGGCTTTGACCAGAGGGTCGCGCAGTAAAATCACACAACACAGCGTTCTTTTCACAGATCAGAGAGCAGGTTTCTCTAAAGCTGACCAACGCTTACTTTAACTTTCGATAGAAAAAAAAAAACTTTCGACGGAACACAGCGTTTTGCGCATGCGTCAGAATACGGCAACACTACGGCAAGCCGGCTGTAGTTAGCTTGTAGCTTCGCTACTTAGCTCTCGAAGAAAACACTAACGCCACTTTTGCACAGTTTTCAACTAAAAAAAGTAACGATTAAACTGACAACTCTGATTTTACTTCAGACACAGCATTACTGCAGTTAGCCGGCAGAAGACAGATCTCTATCGTAGGCTAAATTTCTATCGTTTCTACCGTGTACCGTTTATATCGCGCGTTCCTATTGCACATTATACATTATATTTTGGTAAAGACGTGTTTGAAGTTTAATTGAATTCTTCTTGAACGTGTCAGACGGTTCTGGGTGGGACAATCAAAGACCGTGTTTTAATTCTGACCTTGATTTGTGACCTTGACCTTGAAGCTGGTGTGATGGAAGGTGTGTGCTATACTCCGTCTAGTGATGATGCATAAGAGTATAAAGTTTAATTGAATTATTTTGAGCGGATCAGAAGTTCTGGTCCAAACAAGAGAAAGTTTTACGATGGAGATTATAATACGTCCACCTTTCAATGGGCAATAAAACTTTATTTTGAATTTTAAAATCTATTCAGGACCTTCCGCGCGTCTACAACGCGATGCATCTAAATTTAGATTTTGTCTACCACCCTGATAAGCCGATGTAAGCTCGCTCCTCTGGTTTTTGTTATGAAAATGGTTAATAATGTTTTTAGCAGTTGCAGTCGATCCTGCGCTGACAAGCTGACTGAAAGCTTGTTTGGACAATGTCTGAGATTAGATCTGTGGTGCGCTTCTCTGCCTTGGCTCTCTGTAACATCCACTGAACTTTTATTTTGTAGAGATGTTCCTGATTACAAAGACTGCACGTTGATAAGAGTCCGTGCTTTGATTTCACTTTTTGTCTTTTTAGTTTGATGAAGAAAATCGTGTTGAAGTTTGGGTGAAAAATCCTCTTCATCACTGAAAGCACATAGGCGTTTGCATTATTCTGCCTATTTTAAAGTAGTAGGTAAAATACTTACTGAACCTTGTCCTGAGGGTTTGGTTTCCTGCGTCCGCTCTGCACCTGCGCGGGGTCCAGGAGACTGTGTTCCCATATGGAGTTGGCCCCGTTACTAGCCAAAGTCTGAACCATCTGAAACACGAACACATGCTGAAAAATTATTCCAACTGCAGGGATGATCTCACTGTGGAGCAGCAACACATTTCTGCCCACATCTTTCAATCTAAGTCACAAAAACATTTATTAATTAATCAACTCCTGGAAGTTTCTTAAAATTTATGACTGTTAGGGGAAAAATCCATCATCTTATTTAACTGCTTAAAAATATTATGGGTTAATATTTTTTTCTCCACAATAAACTAGTCATTTTTTAGAGCTTTCTCAGCCTAAAATAATTTTTAATGTTTTTATATATATATATATATATATATATATATATATATATAAATTTTTAAGGCCCTATAGTTTAAAACAAACCTACACATTTCTTTTTATTTTATTTTTATACAAAATATCTAGTTTATGGAAATGTTCAGAAAAAGGAAGAAAAAAAAAAGACTCCCTTCCCAATTATTGCTTTTAAATGATAATTTTTATTTTAATTCGAGTCCCAAGTTTGTGAAGATCTTCCAGCTGAAAGTGATGCTTTGTTTTTGGTCAAACTACACATGAATTAGGTGATCCTAACTTTAAATTATCCCCACCCACCAAATAAAAAAACTGATGTGCTACACCAGTTTCTGTTCTGTTTTGTTGCTTTTATTGACCCAGATATAGTACCAGTGGTTGTGCCACGGTGCATCCACTATTTACGTCCTACTTTAGGTGAAGTCAACAGGAGTGAGTCGTTCTGAGCTGTGGAGCGTCCAATTCTTCAGCCTGCATCCACATAGAGATGATTTTTGTACTAAATGTTGACTTTTGCACAATGCAAGTGTGCTATTGCTATTTACATCCAAACTAAAATCATTTTGTCAAACGAGATGAGTAGAGCCCGACCGATAGGTAGGGCCGATATTTATGCCGATGTAGCCATTTGGGGACCTATCAGTATCGGTGATAATTGTACCATCATGCAAAGATATAAGCACTTCTAATTTTCCCCCATAAAATGATGGGAAGCAGCCATAATTGTACAATGTATCCAGCAGAGGGTGCATGAAGCCTACTTTCAAGTCATGGCCATTCACTCAAGTTTCACTTTCAGCACAGACGAAACAGGGAGCAACACTGTAGCATATTTTGCTGAACAGAGCATGGTTACAATTATTTTAACTGATATGTAAATTTAAAAAATCAACAATAATAAATTCTCTTCAATCCTCCAAACCCACGTCATTAGCTATGTGCCTCTCAGCAAGCTAACGTTTACAGTGCCTTGCGAAAGTATTCAGCCCCCTTGAACTTTTCAACCTTTTGCCACATTTCAGGCTTCAAACATAAAGATATAAAAATTAAATTTTTTGTGAAGAATCAACAACAAGTGGGACACAATCGTGAAGTGGAATGAAATTTATTGGATATGTCAAACTTTTTTAACAAATAAAAAACTGAAAAGTGGGGCATGCAATATTATTCCGCCCCCTTGCATTAATACTTTGTAGCGCCGCCTTTTGCTGCAGTTCCAGCTGCAAGTCTCTTGGGGTTTGTCTCTATCAGTTTTGCACATGGAGACACTGAAATTCTTGCCCATTCTTCTTTGCAAAACAGCTTGAGCTCAGTGAGGTTGGATGGAGAGCGTTTGTGAATAGCAGTCTTCAGCTCTTTCCACTGATTCTCAATAGGATTCAGGTCTGGACTTTGACTTGGCCATTCCAACACCTGGATACGTTTATTTGTGAACCATTCCATTGTAGATTTGGCTTTATGTTTTGGATCATTGTCTTGTTGGAAGATAAATCTCCGTCCCAGTCTCAGGTCTCTTGCAGACTCAAACAGGTTTTCTTCCAGAATGGTCCTGTATTTGGCCCCATCCATCTTCCCATCTATTCTGACCATCTTCCCTGTCCCTGCTGACGAAAAGCAGGCCCAAACCATGATGCTCCCACCACCATGTTTGACAGTGGGGATGTGTGTTCAGGGTGATGAGCTGTGTTGCTTTTATGCCAAACATATCGTTTTGCATTGTGGCCAAACAGTTTGATTTTGGTTTCATGTGACCAGAGCACCTTCTTCCACATGTTTGGTGTGTCTCCCAGGTGCTTGTGGCAAACTTTAAACAACACTTTTTATGGATATCTTTGAGAAATGGCTTCCTTCTTGCCACTCTTTCATAAAGGCCAGATTTGTGCAGTGTACAACTGATTGTTGTCCTATGGACAGACTCTCCCACCTCAGCTGTAGATCTCTGCAGTTCATCCAGAGTGATCGACTTCAGAAGGAACAAGAACAAAAACATCTACACCCCCCTGAACATAAGAGGATCTGCGGTGGAAGTGGTCTCCAGCTACAAGTACTTGGGTGTACACATGAATGACAACCTCAGCTGGAGCAACAACACCACCAGCCTGATCAAGAAAGCTCATCAGAGACTCTACTTCCTCAGACGGCTGAGGCGAGCTGGTCTGGGAAGCTCAGTCCTCACCTCCTTCTACAGGTGTGCAGTGGAGAGCATCCTGTGCTCGAGCATCAACGTGTGGCATGGAGGCTGCACAGCTGCAGAAAGAAAAGCTTTGCAGAGAGTGGTGAAGGCTGCACAGAAATCTGTCGGAATCAGCCTCCCCACCATCACAGACATCTACACCTCCAGATGCAGGAAGAGGGCCACCTGCATCATGAAGGACCCCACTCACCCAGCACACACACTTTTTGCCCCACTCCCCTCAGGAAGGAGGTTAAGGAGCATTAAGTGTAGAACCACTAGACTGAGGAACAGCTTCTACCCTGAGGCTGTTAGACTCATGAATCTCTAACTAGAATAATCACTGAAAAACCATATCATGTTGCTGCTGATCTGTTTCAATGTTGATGTGTTCATGCGTGCACATCTGCTCAGACTCATGTTCATGTTTGTGCTGATGTTCAATGTTTTATGTTATGAGTGCTTAGTGTATATTTAGTTGATGTTTTTCTTAGTTCATATCTTAGATGTTATTACTGTTTTTCTTATACATTTTATTGTTGGATGTAACTGGGATCCCGTGTACATAATTTCGCTCCACCACATGTACCACATGAGGTGCGAATGACAATAAAGAAACTCTGACTCTGACTGATCATGGGCCTCTTGGCTGCATCTCTGATCAGTCTTCTCCTTGTTCCAGATGAAAGTTTAGAGGGATGGCCGGGTCTTGGTAGATTTGCAGTGGTCTGATACTCCTTCCATTTCAATATGATTGCTTGCACAGTGCTCCTTGGGATGTTTAAAGCTTGGGAAATCTTTTTGTATCCAAATCCGGCTTTAAACTTCTCCACAACAGTATCTCGGACCTGCCTGGTGTGTTCCTTGGTTTTCATGATGCTCTCTGCGCTTTGAACAGAACCCTGAGACTATCACAGAGCAGGTGCATTTATACGGAGACTTGATTACACACAGGTGGATTCTATTTATCATCATCAGTCATTTGGGACAACATTGGATCATTCATAGATCCTCACTGAACTTCTGGAGTGAGTTTGCTGCACTGAAAGTAAAGGGACCGAATAATATTGCATGGCCCACTTTTCAGTTTTTTATTTGTTAAAAAAGTTTGACACATCCAATAAATTTCATTCCACTTCACGATTGTGTCCCACTTGTTGTTGATTCTTCACAAAAAACTAAAATTTTATATATTTATGTTTGAAGCCTGAAATGTGGCAAAAGGTTGAAAAGTTCAAGGGGCTGAATACTTTCGCAAAACACTGTAGATAACCTAGCATAGGTGCCTTTTAAAACTTTGCCAGACAATAAATCTAATGTAGAGATAAAATATATCAGTGCTAGTAACGTTATCTTTGTCGTCCTCAATGAAATGCATTGTCTGAAACTTTTACTTATCTGCAAAGAAAAAAATATCACTGCTGTGGTCAATACTAATTATACGTGACTGTTTAAACAATGAACAGGGAAGGCCGTTTCTTTGTTTAATTTATATTTATGTAACACACTTGATAACTTTATGATGAATAGGTTTTTTTTTTTGTTGTTTTTTTACCAAAAAAAAAAGGAAGACTGTTTTAATGACCAATGCACCACTTGTAAACCTACTGTGGGTCTAGGTATAGTGTGGATCTGATTAACTTAGCTTTAAGGTAGCTAACAGCTATTCTAAATAAACAAGCCCCACTCCACTAGCTGTGTACTTAAGATTCTTGGGAGTGGACAAAGCTCAAAAATTTTCAGCCACTATATTGGTTATTGGCATTCACCTTCCTCTCCCAATATCTGTATCGGTGATAGCCAAAATTTCCGTATCAGTCGGCCTCTATAGAGATGAGAGTGAACTCTGCAGCGACACCTAGCTTGGAGGACGTACCATTTCCAGGGTAAGATGCAGCCAGTGATTTTTACAGAGGCTCTCATGTAAAAGAAGAGAATTACCTGTGCAATTCAAACATCTATAAAGTATAGGGATAGACGTAAAAAGAAAAAACTTTACTGAGAGGAATGCATTATAAATATTGGGACAAAACTGAATATATAATGGATTTTCCCTCAGGAACATGAGAGTGTAGTCAGTCACCGAGAGGTTATGAGAGCATTTGAAACATTTCTGACAAAATAATAATAAAATAGAAGGATTTTTAGGCTTTGTCAGAATTGTGTTCATTAACTACAAAAAATAAATAAATAAAAACACCAACAAAAATTAATTTGTGGCTGTTTTTTCCCCCATAAGGTCTTACAAGGGTTAAATGAGGTCATGGAGTGACTCAATTTAAGAACTTTACAATAAACAAAAAATGACAAACTATTACAACAGACCACAGAATGTATTTATAAAGGAGTAATAATAATAAAACAGGCAGGAATCTACTGTGAGGTCAAAAACAGTTGAAAGATATAAAACAGTTTATTATTACCTAATTGAAATGACTTTCATCTTTTCTAAACGTTACCATCCTGTAATGTAAAGAATGTGAGTTTTTCCATAACATTACCATACCACTTGTTGGGTCCTCCGACTTAACAGCTAAAGTAGCCAATATTTACTTAAGATTCCAAATAGATATATTTTATCATCACTTATAAATGCAAAGTGAAAGAATAAATCCCTTCCTTTAAAAACAGCCTGTACATTTTTATCCAGTTTAAGATAATAAAAGCAAGCACTGGTTGGCTAGCCACGAGCCTAGCCTGGATGAAGACTTTTGCCTCTTTCTCCACACACTGCTCTATGAGAGATGTCACAGATGGACTATTTGACAGAAAATCCCTTCAGAAATAAAACCGTTCAGCAATACGCCCGACGGTGTGTAAAGGTCCGAGTCTTTCTGTCTTTGTTCTGTTTGCCTCCGTCTTTATTCGGGACTCTCACCTGCAGTAGTGTGGGAGGCCATCCGCTGTGCCTCAGGTGCTTTACTATGGAGATATGTCGGCCTAGGCTGCGGTGGACCGAGCAGCATTCATCGCAAATCAGAACTCCACGGTTGATGCTGCTCCACCCCGGGTCTGAACACAAACACAAGGTACCACGATACCATCACAAACCTGCTCTCTAAACCAGCTCAAGAGAGGAACAAACATGTTAAAGAAGACTTCTCTTACAAATAGCTTCAATAAATGTTTTGCCCTCTTATAACTTTGTAGTGTTGTTACCACCTATATAAATACAACATTTACATTTTATAAATAGCCATTCATTACCAAAGAGCACTGGAACAAAATACAACTACTTAAGTGTTCTGGCAAGAGGTGAATTCATAGATGGACTCCTAGAAAGATAGGGCATCATAGAATTGCCTGTTCATTTGTTTGTTAGCAAAATATCTCACAAACCATTGGACATATTTTAATGAAACTCAAAGTAATTTTTGGATGACTGAGTTCTGGAGGCAGCCCAATCCAAGAGTCGGTCATTATTACAGATATTGAGAAGACTTGGTGTGGTAGTAGCTGAGTGCGATACACAGAACTTACTCCAAGCACCAGCGGGTCGTTGATTAAAACTCTGAACGAGAAAGCTACTTTAGTGAAAATAACTGATTTTTTTGTTCTTTTTTACGTGTTTGTTTTGAGCCTGCAGTGTTGCTGCAGAAAATATCCTCAAACTTTACGTCAACAGACCTTCTAAATCCAGTCCGCTGATTGGAAGTTAAGCTCCCGAAGAGGAAAAACTAAGAAGCGCTAATAATTCCCCCTTTTACAGGACGAGCATGGGGAGACGGTGTGACATTACCACACCTCAGACACCGAAAACTCAGATGGAAACAGTGACAAACATGTTTTGTTTTTTTCTCAGGTTTATCCAGATGTTTTTATACAGAGGAATACAGATAATTATGTAATCTTACCTTGGTCAGGTAAACACAATGAGCTGATTGGACAGAGCTACCTAGCAATAACATTTCCCTGTGGAGCTCCTTTCCACAGCTCATTAGCAAAAACACACATTTAATATTTTCTTCTCAGTTTCTGGTCCAAGCAACATACTTTTCATCGACAGCCAAATACGAAGGTGAGCAAAAGATTTTGCTCATATCTGCATGTGCTTGTTTCTCATGAACACATTTTATTGAAACTTTCACCAGCCAAGCATCGCAATGTTGGGGAACTTAAAAATAGGGGTGGGCGATATGGCTCAAATATAATATTGTGATATTTCAGAACATTCTGACGATAACAAATTTTGTGATATAACAAAAAAAAAAAAAAAAA